TATATATATATATATATATATATATATATATATATATATATTTATATAGAGAGAGGGAGATAAAACTCTCTTAAAGATAAGAAAAAAGATTGAAGGAACGAAGTTCTGTTTTTGACTTACGACCGCTGCGCTGAACGCGATCGTGCGAGATTTTTCTGGATGGAGGGGCGTCCGAGACCTTTCCTTTCAAAGCCATCCAGAGACTTGATTAAACTTTCGCGGCATGCGCTTTTTGCGGCAGCGTCGCGGTGTATATTGGTCTGTCCGCCTCTTATTTTATCCTACTCCATTATATATCAATTAACGCGCTGCGCGATTCTCCCTCCTGGTAATCAATAAGAATATCGAGTATTCCCGTCGTAAAATAGAAATGTGTATACCATTTATCTCTATAATAAAAATGAAACATCCCTCGCCCCCTCGAGATCTCGGTAGTTTAAATATTCGTGAGATACTCATAAAAGCAATTATCAAATGGCGCGTATACTCTGCACTGAGATTGCTCGCGAAAGCAAATAGAATACGATTGGTTTCTAACTTCAACGTAACTTGAAACTTTCGCGTTCTCGGACTCGCCTCGATGCACCGTAACACACTTCCGTCGAGGTAGAAACAATATCTCGTCCAAATTAAGAGAGGAGATCGCCTCGCATTTTATCGTCGAAAAACAGTTAATTCAATATCTGTCCGCGTAATGACGACCTCTGACTTTTTTCCCGTCAAAGTTAATACACTTTGCGACGCATGACTTGTTCACTTTCCATGCGGGACGTGTCCTGCAGACACGAAACCTTCTGATAAAATTTACTCGAAGTCGTACTCGCGTATTCGCGCTAGCGCCTCGCGACTAAATTAACGCGTCGCGAGACTAACCGTTTAACGCCTTAACGAGAAACGTTACGCTCCAATGAAATCCAGTCTACTAACGAAGTTTATATATCACGATTGCACAAGCGACCAATCGAGTGATTTTAGGCGAATACGAGCGATATATCGACAAAGATCTCTCGGCGCGACAAACCATTATCATCTGTGTCGGAAGTAGACGAAAATAAGGACAAATCGTCTCTTTCATTATCGCCTAGCGAGGCGGCCATTCCGATCGTGATGATATATATACATATGTGTTATATATGGAGCCAACAATGACTGCGTTCGGAAAACACAACGGTTGTACAACTGTTGAGCAAGAGTTATCTATGATTGGTGTACACTTTTAGAGTCTACCAGTCACATCCATCTCCCAAAAAGTCAATCACTCAATCGTTGCATTCGATGAACGCGGCCAGTGTTATTATTTTAGACGTCGATCGAATTCTACCGTACCGTAGTAGTGTTTCGTCAATTTGCTACACACGTGCAGCCAGTGAACGAAAATGCGTGAGATTATATTTAAATTCGACAAAGTAGCGAACGCCTAAAAGAATTTTACTTCTTCGATACCAAAAAATGTACCTCTTTCTCTCTCTCTTTCTCTCCCCTTTTCCTCTTACGTGCCATCTATCGTCCTTGAACAGTTCGATCCTACTTTCTAACTTCTTTTCATGCAAGAATCGGCATTTCGCAGCGAAGAGATAACCAAATTTCAGCGGGAGTGTTTAATGAAACATCGTGACACACGAGACAAATCGAAATATACCTATATATATAACATAACGCGTGAACAGAAACAGAGAAATCAATGACAAAGTCGCTCTGTAACGCTGATATAATCGCTCTGTCACGTTTTTTCAAGAACACTAGAGAATTGAACTTTTCTTCCTTGGCTGTAAATACCGTCTATAAATACCGAAATACTCTAATAAATAGGGAGAATGTTACTTTTTAATGGATATAGTCTTGTATGTACAGGGGTACAGAGTCTATTTAGATTCTCAAGACTGCACTCCAGAAACTGTGTCTATAACGTATATATACTGTCCTTTATAATAAAATAATAATAATATATATAAACGAGTAATTTTCCTGCATATCATCATACCTTTTACTCCTACATCCAAAACGCGTTGCGTCGCATCTTGAATGGAAGCGAATCTTTTCGTGAGCCGATCGTTCTCGTAACACCTTGTTTTCTTCATAAGAATGCATCGATGCGTCGTTTGTTCACTAACCCTCTTAGGCCCGATTGCACGAAGTGTAAGCTCGAGTGGTGATTGCTCGAGTAGTAAACTAACCAATAGTCAAGTCGTACGTCTATCTTTGCTCTTTCTACAAAATAAATAAAGGCAGACACATATTTCAAATGTCAGTTAACTTACCACTTGAATGGTGTGCCACCAGACTTTAGAGAACTGCTAACACAATGTCGGCCAATTTAAAATGGTAGAAGAAGCGACAGTGCGGCCATCTGTAGCCGCGAGAGTGTAGCTTAAAGCCGATTTAAACGACTGAGTTCAGGGCATAGAGCACAAAGATAATTCATACGGCGTAATAATTTTATCACTATTATCGGTATTTATACAGACTACGTTTACTTTGAACGTTTTTGCGCTAACAATATCACTCTGTCTTTAGCCAGTATTCATAATCAGTCTTATATTTAAGATCGTCTTAGGCCTGGTCCACAATATGCAGAGTAATGGCTCCTGCACACAGGACGCGGTAATGCTTGCCACGCGGCGGAAGTCCGCATGACAGCCAATCAATATGTTGTTTTTCCGTAAGAGCTAGAAGATTATTACGGAAAGCAGCATATTGATTGGCTGTCGCGCGAAAGTATTACCGCGTTCTGTGTGCAGGAGCCATAAAGCTGATATTACATATGTCGTACGACAAGCTTTTCGGATACGTTCATTGGTTGACGAACAGAGAACCTAGAAATACTCTATAATAAATACTCTATTCGCCAATAAATAAACGTATCCGAAAAAGCTTGTCGTACAACACATAATATCAGCCCAAGTCATAAGAATTGGCTAATCATAACCGATTATTCTTGTAATAATCGACTATGATTGGTCAATTCTTACGGCTTACGAATTACTCCGCATATTGTAGGCCAAGCCTGAAATTCATCTTCAGATGTCAACAAAACTTCATAGTCAACAAAATGATCCGTACATCTGAAGATGAATTTAAAACGACCTTAAATATAAGATCTGACTATGTATACCGACTTTTGTTGTTTATTATATGTTGAAGAAAAATTTTACATTTCATTTTTAATGGGTTGGTCTCTGTGTACAACAGGTGATTTAAGCCCTAAACCTTAAGAAATTGACTAATTACAATCAAATATAAGAAGAACAATCGATTGTGATTAATTAATTTCTTAAGGCTTAGGGTTTAAGTCACCTATTGTAATCTGTAATTACAAACGGAATCAAATATGCGTTATATAGACTTGAAAAATTATAAGGAAATATAAAAAATGCAGCTAAAAGGAACGGGATAGATTTTTGTCACACTTTCATGATTAGGTTAGGTTGGGTTATGTTAGGATTGTAATATATTCAGGTTATGTTAGCTCAGTGTACAATGCTATGTTCTGTTACCAAAGCAGTGTAAGATCTCTCTCAATATGCGACAGAGAAAATTTTCCCATCGGCGGGAATTTTGTACGCATGTGTAGGCAATATGGCAAGACACGTGACCGAATGAGCATACTCGTACTTAAATACAAACTGGGCCCTTCTCGGAGCCTGTATATATTTGTAACCTTTTTTTCTGTTATCATCTATATATTGTCGATTATAAGTTTGTTATGTCCATTTAAAATAAATTCTGTTATTTTTCTCTTTAATTTTCTTTTCCATGTCCTATTCTGTTATTACGAGCAATTTAGCAGTGCCATAAATTGTAGCGATATACATACGTGACTGAGGAAATCGCAACTGCCTATGGCACATGCGCGAATTTTTTTCCCCTCGTCTCGTAACGTCAAGTGGAGTAGCTTTTCGCGTTTGATATAAAGACGAAGCTTTCTGTACCCGCACTGGGTCTATACGTGACAAGAAATAAAAGTTAGACGAAGAGTAATGAGAATTAAGAGAGAATCTAGACAAAACTGTCGTACGTATCTCGCTTGAAATTCACAATAGAAATGACGTATCCCGGGCTGGTACTCCTTGTTGGAGTAGGAATTGGTTTAGCGACGTTTTTGTATTATATGTTCGCTGAAAATGAAAGCGAGACTGAACAGAGACAACAATATAACTATGCAGATGATAGGACATCGGATCATTACGACGACTGGATGTCTTCACCTGCTTCGTCACATAGGTCTGAGAAGTATCTGTCTTACAAATGTACAAAAATATATCTATATTGTGTGCTTGTTAATGACAAAAGATATTAATAGTTAACTATTACATGTGTGCCTTGATGTTTATATCTATAAACAGCACAGATTATTATATATTTCCGTGTATAAAATATTCTAGATGTATAATTTGCATTATAAGATTAATGTTGTACAATATTAAGGAAAAAAGACACAATATGTGTCGCATGCCTTTATAAGAGCTATTTGTTTTTAGTGGTAGATTAAATAGGAGAAACTTGTCAAATTCTTCAGTGGAAAGTGGCAAAGGAAGAAATCACACGAGTAAAGAAGACATAACCAATTGTTCAATCTGCCAATATGCGTTAGTTGGATCAGATGTGATACAACTACAATGTAGACATAATTTTCACAAGGATTGCATTAAGAAGTTGAGATCTTATACTCCTAGGGTATAATCCATGAAGATATCGATGCATGTACAAATTTTCCAATTATGGACGTAGATTCACAAAGGTACTTTTATTTTGCATTACAGGCTGTTTGTCCAAATTGCAGAAGAAGCATCGCGCGCACAACATAGATTTATCATATACACTGTACAGCTTCCTTTGGAGCATTTTTTATAGCCGTTGATAAATGTTAATGTTTATTTTTGTCATGGTTGTATCATATAATATACACATACACACACACAAGCTCGAAGTACTACTTAGAATTTATGAAACTGTTATAATTTTTTTACACTAGATACCTCTTGTTGAATTAATCGAGATGTTTTTGCAAAGTCTGACTACTTTGTATGAAATAGAAGAAAAGCTTCATAAGAATTATGACAGGAGAGTTGTAGGAAAACTTTTTTATTTGTTCTATTTTTATTTGTTTTTATCTAAATTTGCTGATTGCATAAATTGTATAAGTTGATAGTGTATTAATTTGATAATTGTATGTTAAGATGAACAATGATATAATTTACTACAGTATGAACATATAAATCCAAATGTGTTATATACAGATCTTTTATAGAAGGTACCCATTAAATGAGTATCCAATTAAATTATTTTTCTTTTAGTTTGGTTTACTTATATATTTATGTATAATTATATATAAACTTTATATCCATACATATATAGTTTATATATTAATTATATATAAATGTGCTATATATCATAAGAAATTATGTATATATATACATATATCAGTAAAGTATAATGTTGCGTGGGCACCTCATTAGCTTAGCTAAATGAGGCTAAACGTTTAAATTATTTTTCTTTAGAGCTTGTTTTAGGGTTGATTTTCTCTGTATCCAGCGAACGCTATTTACACGATTGCTCACACCGATGCGTAAGAAATTAGTACACCACTAATTCGCGATGAAATAAATTAATTAGTAAGATTAATTGTTAAGCAATTGTGTGAATTGTACGAAACTGAGTTGTATGAATTATTGAAACGAATATAATGATATGTGCTACACTCATTCTGCTTTCATTCTCGTTCAACCGTAAGTGGATCTGAATTTCTCTTTCGTAATATCACAAATACATATGCGGCATCCAGCAATAATGGACACGTACGTGTTCCTGGGGTTACAAGACGACACGGGACAACACGCATGTTGTACGTGCAACGCAACAGTGCGTTCTGTAACGTTTGGCTAGTGAGCGGCATGAATCCGGCATGGAAAGCGAGGTGGTCGTGCTTTATAGCCAGTTCTCGCGAGAAGCGTCCCGAGTCAGTGGATGCGCGGCGGATAAGACTCCGCGTCTCGTACGGATTCATTCTTACTCTCGTGGACGGCGATCGTACGAGTCGGCTCGGGAGTATGCGGCAGCAGTGAGGAAGGATGGGCCGATCGCATTCCTCGCATCAAAATGTATCAATGGAACGAACATGAGCGGATTATTGTTTATTACATTGATTGTAACTCACACGGTCACAGGATCGTGCTTACCCGCCGCCAAGGAGAGATACGGTACGTAACTTATTACTGCGTTACATCGGCGTCGGTCTGTATCTAAGCGTGACGATTTAATTCATCTTTTTCTACCTTTTTACTTGTACGGTAGGCGGAATACATTGATGTACATGTCGACCGGTACATTTAACGCTTCCGTATATGCGCAATGCGCTTGATTCTTAAGCACGTGCTTTAAGGCTCATATTAATAATCGTTACTTGAAATTCCTCTTAAGTGAGATACTCTTAAGTGAGATACTCTGAACTCTCAAAGTGAGAATTTAAGTTCAGGGTTAAATAAAAGTTTTTTAGTTGAATCGTGATTACAAATATAATGGCACATATATATGTCATATAATTTATATGAAAATTTTGAATCTAACTTTGAATAAATTATCTCACATAAGACAAATTTCAAGCAACTATTCAGGAGATGCTGGAGTCGATGACGAAAATATGTCCATCTCCAAAAATGTCGATAACATAAAGACGGATCATCATTAACACAATCACGCTATTCTATTTCTTGTACATACTCAAACAACACAACAGATTTTTAGGGGATGTTTTGGAGACGTTCTCAGGACGTCTTTAGAATGTTCTGTGGAGGTGTGTGCTGTTTAGGTATAGATCTTACGTACATATCTTACATAAATATCTGTCTTTGTTCTACATTCTTACATGTATTTTTATTGTGTAAGAGTATTTATAACTCTGTGTAACCAATACGAAGTTTGCGGAAAAAAGTCAGTATTTTGTTGATAAAATCCTCGACTCGAATATCCCCTTAATGTGGTCCTAAATGTCTGATTGAATCGCAAGTCGATAAATTTGAAATATGATCTCAGCCGTGTATTACTTGCTCTCGTTTTGTTTGTGCGTAACTATGAGAGAAAAAAGGCCTGCGATTTGTCGAATTCGCCGGCGGACGCTGTGCAGATGGAACTGTAAAAATGGAACTGTAAAAATTGTAAACATAGGTGTGTTAAAACGAGTGTTAATTAAGATAATGATGCCCGCCTTTCGCAACTCTTCCTAGCTGTCGCGTTAGCGGCCACTTAAATCCTTTTCTGTTTTAATAGTATGAAAGATTTATCTCGCAATAATGAAGAGCACGTAACATACAATACGTTGAATATATCGTTAATTGATTAATCGAATTGACAAAAATCGCCCTTTCGTCGTAACGCGCTTCCGCTCATTTTTCCGTCGCTACCAAGAGTTCAATAATAAAACGTGCTCGAGCCGAGTGCGATTAAATCGGCACAGGAGGATGTTCTCCTTCCGTTAAACCGCTTCGCTTATTCGCATGCTGCAGGGTTAAACATCGGTCGTCCCATTTCTGGACCGGTTCCACGATCGTCGAGAGAAGCAAAGCGAGTTAAAGCGGGTTGAATCGAGTCGCGCGTTAATTTTCGATTTCGTCTGTACCCGGGTATCCTTACGGCTCCCGGCTACTCGCCACGGCCATCTTGACTTGTGACGTCAGAAATGAGGAAATACACGTTAAAAATCCTTGCAAAATACACACGGAGAAAATAATTTGCTGGTCCAGCAAATTTTCTGCTGATCTAGCGAAATCTTTTCGTTATTATATGGACAGCAAAAAGATTTGCTAAGAGTACTAATCACTATTTGCTGAGTCTACAAATTATTCTGCTATAAGAACCATGATGAATTTATAAGCAGTTGCAGTTTTGCTCCGATAGCAAATAATCTAAGGCAAATAATAATAAGGCAAATAATCTATAGTAAATTTGCTAAGGATACATTATTTTGCATCAATAGCAAGTTAACATGATTCTTAGGACAAACCCAGACAACATAATGTCTAAAATCGGGATATAAGACGTCTTAAAGACATTTATACGTAAATCGTCTGAAAGACATCTTAAAGATGATCTCTAAGACGTTTTGTGTCCGAGACATTATGTTGTCTGGGAATACACTCAATAAATTTTTTCTATCCTGGCAACGAAACTATTTCTGCTCTGATAACGAATAATTTGTAAAATTAGTTACGTCAACTAAATTTTTTTAATGTCACTACGAATATACAGTAGCAACGACGATTTTGCTAAAAGAGCAAAATTATTTTTCTCCGTGCATCGAAATAAAATGATATGTTTACAAAATGATATTTGTGATCAAATTAAACAGACACTGTAAAATTGTCCGAATACTTTTCCTTTGATTTAACAATAAAAAGAGTCAATATTAACGTAAAAAAATTATGAGAGAAGGTGGGTTAAATGGGAAAGTTGCGTGTTACATTAATTTTATGATTATTTATTAATTGTTCAAACAAAAAGAAAGTATTCAGACTGTTTTACAAGTCTGCTTGATCGATTGCAAATGTCACTTCATTGATACATCTTTTTATTTCAACACATTTTGCAAGAATTTTTAATATTTTTTTTTTTGCTTTTGATGTCATCAATTAAGAGTTCCGCGGCAAGGAGTCAAAAATCTTGAAGAACGGTTGCGCGTATTAAACGTATTGTATACGTTATATGCGAACGAACAAAACAACGGTTATTTTTATTTGTTACGTATTCATCTGTAACGCGGTAATGATGCAATATATTTTAGCGATTCGAGTCGAAGACTACCAACGAGACCTGCCTTGCAGCTGTTACGCTAAGCTGTTAAGCTGCTTAGCATGACACGCAAGTTTAAATAAAAAACGTCGTCCTATAGGTATAACTTCCGTAATAACTTTTCCGTCCGCGCGCGCTGTTTGATTTTATATATAAATTATAAATTGATATATATAAAATATATATATGCGCGATGGAGCTTGTTTTACCGTTCTTAGACGCATAATGGGGTTACGAGAATCTCACGATGACCTACGTGCCCGTTTCTCGCGATAAGCGAGCACGGCGACAGGTAGTGCCACGCACACATACATACATGTGTGCATGCATATACGCATGTACATATTGCACCGTTGAACGTGTACGTAACGACTGAAATAATATCACGAGATATATCGCATTACCGTTGCAAGAATTACACATATATTCTCTCACTGAACGATCTTGCGAATAGTAAGAAGACTGATACGAGATTGGGCACCTCTGGTATGGCTTGCGCCTGGAGAACGATTTCTGCCTCTTGGCGTACCTGAATTCCTGGATAACGTGCAGTCGGATCAATATTATCTTCGCACTAGAATGGACGTAGGTAAATGTTCGAACTATAACATATGGATAATCTGTGATATGCAGGATGGACCGATAATTGTTAACACCTTGAATATCTTCCGAAATATAGAAATCAGATAATAGAAAATCAAAAATTCAATTCAACGATGCAACGCAACGAGGGTTGCGATTAATTGTATTTTTTATTAATTATCGTCTTTAAAATATAATACACGATTAATATGAGTCAATTCAATTGGAGAACGTTTAATTGACAATTGATTTCAACAAATTCAATCGAAGAACTGGTTTGAGAACATAAAAGTCCTATAATTTCAACAAATTCAATCGAACTGACAATAGACAATTGATATGAGCGAAGGGAATTTAAAAAATCATTCAATTAATAATTCAACTCAGCAAATTTAATTAAAGGCTGTTTAATTGATTGATGTGAACAAATTCTATCAATTCAATCGAAAATTGTTCAGTGATAATTGATATGACTAGAGTATCCCCCTTAACGCGAGTCCTATCTAATGCTTCTATCATCGGCATTTTCTCACGATGCTTTGAGTATGAATATTATCCACAAAACCAATAACCTTGAATAATTGAACGCTCTTCAATTAAATTTGTTCACAGCAATCGTTAACGGCCTTTAATTAAATTTATTAGATTCAATTATTAATTGAATGTCATTTAGTTAAATTTACTAAGTTCAATTGTTAATGTAACGAACTTTGATTCGTTTAGTTCATATCAATCGTTTAGTTCAATCAATTAAACATTCTTCGATTGATTTTGCTTCGATCACAAAATTAGAATTTGAACATATATGTCCAAATGAGTTATTAAGTTGAGAAAACTTTGATGATGTTTTTACAACTCTGCAGCATGTAACTTTTCTTTTAGAAATGATCCTATGATTTTCACAATTTCGATAATATTCAAATAATCAGGAAATATGAATATCTAAAAAATATTTACTACTAAACTATTACTTCTTTTAAACGTCTTTTAGATGTTCGTTTTGTTTAGGTTATCGGGCCATCCTTCTTTGAATATTTATGATACGATTATCAATGTTTTAAGCGAAAAATTTCTAACAGAATTCTTACTGAGGAATCAATCGTCCTTCCTGTACGGTCGAAAACCCGCCGGAACCGTGCCAGTCTATGCTCTCACGAAGAAGTGCATTTCCACGGAGGCGAAGGTACGCGCGCCGACGTTAAGTCGGACGCCGAGGAATGACCAAAGCGTTTTAACGCTGCTACGCGATAATGAACTTTCGGCCGAACTACGACCTGACACCGGGACTGGCGACCTAAGAGCACAAATAGTATCTCAAGAACGAATACAACAGGCAGGTAAAACATGAAAATAGACGAACGACAGACTCATCCACCTCTCTCACCCGTTCGTGTCCGTTAATCGCTCCGACAAAAGGTCACGAGGTCGTTGAAGTGAGCCTTCGAATCGATCTTCGTCTTGTTTTCTCTCACGTAAGACTAATTTGCAGACGGCGACGGGGTCGCGATTCGACACGAGAAGAGGAGAGAACAGTTGTCGTCGGAAGGTGCACTTTCACGTGACCTATTGGATGTTCTATCCGTTCAGCGAGGGAAAGACGATTTGCGTGCTGAATCTTGGATTTTTCGGTAGCTGGCCGATACCCACCGTAGGCAGTGTATGCATAGGTACGCTCAAAGAGTATGGCAGTCATATCGGCGATTGGGAGCATATGAGTCTGTACTTCAAGGTAACTCCCTCTATTTTCTTCTCAAAAATACCCTTAAGATCAAAACGTGCTTTCTCTATTTACTGCATCCACATCGTATCAGATTTCCATATTGTAAGTGCATCCATGCACACATATCAAGCATAATTTCATATTTTGATGTCGTTTAGGATAAGGAGCATCCTCTGACGATGTACGTATCGGCGCACGACGCGGGTGCGTTTTATCGATACGACCCGCAGAACGGCACTTTCGTCTACGAGAGTCAAGAGACCAGAAAAGGTCTCTTTCAGAAGCCGACATTTCCCGAGAAGGTTTACACAGCCGGCGGTTCGCACCCGATTTTATTTAGTGCTCGTGGCTCTCACGGGCTCTGGACAGCTCCGGGAAAGCATAAGTTTGTTCGGGTTCCCCGTCTGTATGACGAGAGCGGATTTGGAACTGCCTGGCCGACGTGGAAAAGATTGGAACTGCTTTCAGAAGAAGATAATAAAGCTTTGCCGGGCTGGATGACTTTTAAGGGCAAATGGGGTAATCCCAGAAGCAACTGTCATCCGTTAGCGAAATTAGGATTTAACATTTGCGAATTCGTCGATGGCCCAACCGGGATTCCTATGAAAAAATTCAATTTTCGTTGTTAAGATCTATCACACGGAAAGAATAGATTTCAGTTCGTGCACAGAGAGAACGATTTGATGAATCAAATAAACGTTTCTTTGGAATGGTCCAAACAAATTTTTTGGTTGACCAAACAAAGTTTTGGTTGGTAGAAATATTTTATTGGAACTAAGCCGTAACTAAATATTTTTGTTGTGTCAAACAAAACTTTGTTCAATCAATCAAAAAATTTGTTTGGACCATTCCAAAGAAGTGTTTGTTTGATTCAATCAAATCGTTCTCTCTCTGTATGTAATTGAATAGAGACCAGATAAAAAACTCGTTGACATGAAATATTTCTGTTATTCTAACCGAAAACATTTATTTGAACATTCAGCTGTTTTAAAACTCGGTTGAAATAACTGAGAGCAATTAGCTGAGCAGAAACCTCCTATGGGAATCTTTCTGTTTCTACAACTGAGTTTTTCATCTGGTTCCTAGACAACAGAAAATTCAGTTACACTAATGGAGTTGTTTTTTCCGTGTATGATTAAGAAGTCACTTTGAAATGAACCTAAAGATAAGAACATTCATTACAAACTGAACTTTATCTTAGAATGGTCGAATGTGAATACGCGCGCATGTGTGTATGTATGTATGTGCGAGAAAAGAGATAAATTGGTGGTGAGATGCCAAATAAGGATGCCAAAGATGGATTATCAAATAATCCACATGAGATTTTTATCGTTTAATTTATTCGAATGATCGACTCATCTTTTGATTTTTCGACGAACAATTGAGAAGTATTTTAATATCTTTATAAACGTGTTCATCTAGCGAAAGCGAAGCTTCGTTGAAAATTGACAGTCGATATATAAAAGGATAATAAAATATTAATCGTTCATTATAATCTACATGTACATAATCAACAAACGATAAGTGGTGTGCACTTTTAGGCATCTCGCATGTGATATAGTCTTAAGACCACAATAGGCAAATTGTCTTGCGCAGTGATCCAAGCCATTGGCCATTTGCGTTTCACTCTGTCCGTTCTATTCTGGAATGTCTCAGCGATGCTGATGCATTTGTTCAACTTCTCTACCATAGGCTTCATGACTCTCTTCAGCATACTCAGCAGCTCAGATATCAAGAGATAAATCAATAAGCAGACCTATTCAGAGACCTCATCCTCGTCCACACCCTCTATGGCAATACTACGTATGCCATTTCTCAACAATGGCGTACCCTTATCCTTTGCCAGAACCCGTGCATTCAGTACAATCTTCAAAGGTGTGCCAGATGAACAACACATTACTTCAATATCCTCTTTTAATATCTTCTCTTTGTAGGCTAACAATTCCACTTTTAATCTAATAGAATAATCAATTATTAAGTTTGGATGAACTCAAAAGAAGGAGTATATTGATTAATGGAGAAAGTTATGTATGCAATAAAATTTTATACCTTAAGCCATCTTTATCTTGTGCAAAATCAACAATATGACAGTTTGCATTTTGATTTCCTGCTATTATTGCCGGTGTTACTGTTTTTCCTTCCAGATGAATACATGTATTCCATGGCACTGAAAACTCTATATGGTATCTGAAACAAATGTATGGAATATATCCACTGTTTCCTATTTTATATACAATATATGTACAGAAACACAAATGTATTATGTTGTATGAGAGAAATATATGAGAGAACAAAAGTTTTAATAAATAACTATGTGATGTTTGTATCACGATAAAAATTATCTGAAAATCCCTCTCTATCAGATTGTCAGAAGATACTATGAAGATAATTGTGATCTACAAATTTTGCACAGCTAAGAACCTGTGATGCAGTTGCAAGAATCCTAAGTGAGCATCTATATGACCATGTCGTTGGGGTTGTATCATAATGTTGTTATCCTTTCCAAGTCCACTCCCACCACTAAAGTGCACATGATGCTCTAAAAATGTGAAATAAATCTAAAATGCGTTTTATGACATATCGTCCATGACATACAGCCGTTAAAACAAGTAAAATGTTCATTTTAATATTTTTTCGTCAATTAACCTAACCTAAGAATAAGCGCGGCAAAACACCTTGTGTGTTTAAATAAACAATGTGTGTGTGTGTGTATATATATAACTATACGCGTTTATATTTTTAGATACATACATTTAATATATATTCACGTATTGAAATGGATTAGATACAAAAGTAACTTATAAGATAAGATGATCGCATATCGTTGAGTGAAATGATAACTGAATACCTTTGTCTCCCATGTTTCACAAGATGGTTTGGCAATTGTATTTTCATACTGCTCGCCAACTAAATCAATCCAGTTAATTCTCCAGCCTGCAACGATTCGCAATCCTGATTCATTTGAAACTTAGGTTAAGATCTAGATTGGAGCTTGGGGCTTCATTTGGCACAGTTCTGATATTTCTAAAGGTAAATATTCAAATATGTCGTATACGCAAATGTTGTACAATCACCATCAAATATTTCAACAACATACTTAATGAATATAAATTATTAATTGTTAATTACAATAAATATTGTTTTTCCATTCGATTCTTTTTCGACATCCGGAATATTCGAATAATCGAATCTTCGAGAATCGATCGAATAAATAGCTCGATCATTGCTTCTAATTGAACTCGACCTGTTTAATCTAGAAATTTTTTTGAACGTTTTATTGAGAAAATGCGTCACATGAAAAAACTATTAAATGAACAAAAAGAAAACATGACGGCATGACAATATGAATTATTCAGCAAAAGTCGATATGTAAATAAAGAATTATGTGTTGATAACTTAATTAATATTTTAATTAAATAAAACATACATCTCGGATCTACAATAGGATCCTTTTCAATAATCATACGATAAAATTAATCATTTTTAAGTCTGATTAAACGCAAAATCAACCCCGATATAAAAGAAAGCACAGAATATTGCATATTAAATACACAATTTAAATCAAAACAAAAAGTTGAAAAATAAACCCACAATATAACGTTTAAAATCGAGACATAAAAACGTCTCTCAAACGTTGGAATACAAGACGTCTCTAAAACGTCTTATGTTCCGATTTTAGACATTGTGTTGTGTGGAGAATAAATGGTAGTAAAATGTAAAAAGAATAAACATGGCATTAAGCTAATCGTTGCTGGTGATGATGCCTCGAGAAAATCTCAAATAATTATGCTTAATTCAATCGGAGGAAGGTAATCTTCAAGATCGGACGTTATTCACCAACACAGCAAAATAGCACACAATAGGCAAACTATTTAAAATCACATGATATAATAAGAATAGAACGAGCATGAGATGCGAAACCTGAAGATCAACTAGAAAGAAACAGAAGATATAATAAGATCTTCCTTTTTCATTCTTTCCTAGTCAGAGAGAAAAAACTATATGACACTTGTTTTCTGTCTTTTTTTATTTGATTTTCACTGCCAAGTCACACTAAGTCTATTCTTACCAATGCATAATGTAGTATATTGTGAAATAACTGCGAATCTAGGAACTTTAGTATAATCACAGTTCCAAGGAAAATCAATTATACTTGTGGTTTTCACCGATGATGCTTATCGATAATAACTCTGCTCTCTTTGATTCTTTTTCATATTCTCTATTCTTCATTTTATATAAATATGTTCACCTATTAACTAAGTTTTAGCAATCCGAAAAAAATGCATCCGGGAAAAAAGATTCATATATAATTCTATAATTTAATTAAACTTAAAATGATCATTAATTTTATCGTATGATCATTGAAAAGAGTCCCATTGTAGATCCCATTGTAGATGATATATGTTTTGTTTAATTAAGGTATTAATTGAGTTATCAGCATATAAAAGTATATATGATTATATATATAATTATATATAAATTTTTTTGTTCATACATATGACCTTATCTAATTATATATGTCCATACATAAAACAAATACTGTTGAATGAAAAAAGGAAAACATAATTTGATTTAACTAAATGTCGACATCATGGACTACTATAAACATAAATATTTACTTCAATTGTATTTTCACGTCAACTTATTCTTTTCAATATGGATATATATAATTATATATGATCATATACGGCTATATGTAGTCAAAATCCATATAGGAATTCTTCCAGGCAGAGAAAAATGATCTCGGTTGTAAAGTTTATTCTTGTTGACAGGAAGCAATTTTGCTGAAAGATTCGCGAAAGATTGGCTGCACAATAATTCGCGGAAAAAAAAACGCTGACGCATGTTGAGATAATAAGGATGAAATTAACCAACCATACAAATGTATGTTATTAAGCGATGTCAGATTGTTTTAGATTGTTACACAATATATGCAATTGTTGAGTAACTAAGCAGTGAATGATTGTTTGTAACGTTTTTTCGCCTCGTTAACGACACGTAGCCATCTGCGATTTTCTGTCAAAAATTAATGTCTTTTCTAATTTATCATCATATTGCTATTAGTATTCCTCGCTGAACAGGTTTTAAAATATGAAATATACAGATGTATATCATTTCTTACCACTTTTATTTCTTTAGCTAGTATGATATAATAAAGTATGTCCCTGAAGGCATAACGGCAACTGTCTCGAATATCCTGCCACTCACGATGCGGAACAAAAAAAAGAAGATACTTATCACCGTCTCAAGCTATAAAAACTCCAGACAGTATCTTGCGAGTATTCAGTAACCAGTTGATCGCAGACTTGTCGTTTCGGATTATAACAGATATCGAACATGAAGGTCATCGTCGTTGTACTTGCCGTTTGCTTTGCCGCCGCTCTGGTAAGATTATATTACTTTAACATAAATCATATATATATTTTCAAAATATATCGCAAGCTGCAATATATATTTGTTTATTTGATCGTATTATTGTCTGTACTATATTAACAAATTTGTAAAATGTCGCAACATATATTTCGAGACGAACATTTTAAATTTTGAAATCAGATTCGATATCAAGATCTGACAACTTTAGGTTCGATATCGAAATTCAAACTGTTCAAATTATTCGACTTTACGAAAGTATCAAGAGCTAATTCTAATCATCCATTCATCGTTCTTATCATTCACTCCCAACATAACTGTGAAATTTATTTATAACTTTGAGATTTTACGCGTCGAAATCTTTATTTTTTTTATTTAATCCGTTGCATTGTGGAAGGACTTTCGCACTTTTGCAATGTTCCCGTGAATGTTCCCAAACAACACAAAAATTGGATCAATGTTAAATCTACAACGATCAGCCGTTAACAAATTAATATATGCTGCTCAGGTTGTTAATCGCAGACCTTATTTAAATTTATTATTTGTCATAACAATCTCTATATACAGAGTACAGTAGTTTAATATAATTTTATTTGTTCTGAGCATGAACTCAAATATAGCATAGTCGTAATAAATAGGCATACGTCCTACGAGTTCGCTAATTAGAGATGCCAACGCAAAGAGTTAATTAATCTAATTTCCAGACAACTTTCGCACGTAGTCTTCCTTTAATTCAACTCATAATATCTATTATTAAAGTATACCACATATAGGGGCATAGTTGATTGTTCGAAAATGCGTTAATTGTTTATTAGTAAGTATAAACTTACTAATAAACAATCGTGTAGATAATAGCCCACATAAACGTAACTGCAGATCTGTGCGTTTGATTTTAGGGTGAACTCACAGACGAGCAGAAGGAAAAATTGAAAACGTACAAAGAAAGCTGTATCAGTGAAACCGGCGTTGACCCGAGTAAGCGAAAAATAATAAAAAGAAAAGGATTAAATATGGAACCCATACAGCACAAATGTTCAAAAGATATCCTAAGAACGTTCAAATCCTAAGAATATTCGAATATTCTTAGAACGTTATTAGGATGGTCGAGTTTTTTAATTCATCGATAGACCGCATGATGCGCAAATGCAGTGTTTCGCTATATTTACGCATCATGCAATGGATCCATCGATGAATTAAAAAACTCGACCGATATCTACCCAGATAGCACAAAGAATTCAAACAAAATTCAAAAAGAATTCATTCGTATGTCACCAATTCTGAGTTTATTTTCAGATAAAGAATTAATTAAAAATTTAAAGAATTCTTAAATTAAGAATTTAAAGAATTCTGTAGAGTTCAGTTTGGTGAAAAGAATTCTTTTTGTATCTAAAAATGAACTCAGAATTGGTGACATACGACTGAATTTTTTAATTTTCTGGATAAGTATATTTACGAAAATAAATATTCTTACGCTTCAGTGAGAAGCACTCTATCTCTTCCTCTCTCTCTGCTTAAAATCCAAATACATTCTGGATATTCCGCGTCTCACCGCTCATACGACTGCTATCTGGATAGTGAATATTTGTGTTATATAGGAATATAACAAAATCGATCTATTAATCAATCTGGTTTTCAGACGTTGTGAAAAATGCGAAGGAAGGCATGATCGATGAAAGTGACGAGAAACTTGCCTGTTTCGCAACATGTTTATTGAAGAAAATGGGAATGGTACGTTCGGGAGTGAGAATCTCGTTATTTAAATATACGAGCGAGCAAATGAGAAAAATGCTTTATAATTTCATGCGTGTTTCACAGATGAAGGAAAATGGAGACATCGACATAGACGCAGTTCGTTCAAAGATACCCTCAAACATACCACAGGAAGAAGCTGACCGCGTAATCAATATATGCAAAGACATTAGTAAGTTTAAACATCAATTAGACAGAATAAGACCATTGTTTGTTCTCGAACAGCACAGATCTCCACATGATATTCTAAAGATATTCTGAGAACGTCTCCAGAACATCTTCTGAAGATCTTGTACTGTCTTCCAGGTAGAATAAATAGTAAAAATAATGTCAATCTTACGTCGTTTTCATAAAAAAATGACGTAAATTTAGTCAATATTTAGTCAAAATAACGTTAAATTAATATTATTTTGACACTATCTGTTCTACATGAGATCGATAGCGACAATTACGGTCGATAATTTATTCCGTGATTTCGTATTCATATTTAATACATCTCGCTCGAGCAAGGAAACGGGATATGAAATGAATACCATTTCAGCTGGAACCGGTTGCTGGAAGGGAGGTAATATAATGAAATGCGTTCTCCAAAACAAGAAGGTCCCTCTCGTACACTGAACGGATGATAACTTGAAGATCCAGCTCTCGCTAGACATAATTAGTCTTAACGTTTAATCTAGTTGTTAGAATGACGTTTAGTACATGCATGTACAGAATTACATTAGTATAAGTATATTTACGGGAAAATAAATATTCTTACGCTTCAGCGAGAAGCAAGTGTCTCTCTATCTCTTCCTCTCTCTCTCTCTCTGCTTAAAATCCAAATACATTCTGGATATTCCACGTCCCGCCGCTTGTACGACTGCTCGATTCCATTCACGACAGCCGATTGGCCATCGAACGGAGAATGTCTAGAGTCCCGGTGAGTCTTCTCCGGGAGAAAGGTAGAAATTCTCTATTCAACAGCCAATCGGCACGAAAGCGACTACTCGCGTGTTAGGAATGAAGCACTAGTTTCGCATATTCGGTTGGCTGCAGCGGACTTCTCAAGTTGTGCAAATTTCCTCTTTTAGATGAGCGATCTTTAATAGCAGCTAGTCGATGGCCAAGGGAAAAATGCTAGACCGCCATATTAACAGCGAACCGTGACTTTAGACATCAAATGTCTTCTATCCCTCGGACTTCAGTCCCACGATATTATGCTCCGTCGTACTATATCCTTGTGTCTATGATAAGTACATACAATTCGTACGTGTCCTGTATTTACGTATCGTTCTGTGCGCCTCATGCGTCCGCCATATACTGTCCTAACGTTTCCAAAAATGGAAATCTTCATCTAATTTAACTAGGAAATCGCGTGTGAGTTAATTACGTGCTGGCGCAATTTGCGTAACGCATCGACGAAAATATGTTTCTGGTTCGAAGGTTACAAGCATCGCGATGATTTAATTGTGAGAATGACATAAATCGTGTTGCGCGTGTTTTCTATATAAAGGTGGGAGAGAGGGAAAGAGAGAGACAGAGAAAGAGAAGGTGAAGAAGAGAGAAAGAGAGAGAAAGGAAGAGAGAGATGTGTCGGTGGATAAATTACTACAATTTGCTTAATAGCTAATAGACTCAAAATTACTGGTATGCTTTTACGATTCGCTCATGATGTCCGTATATGCGACGATACTGCCTCTCATCTTCTTGGGATTGTTAGGTAACATATACATAGTAATGCCTCGTTTAAAATGTGTGTGTATTTCTTATTTTAATTTAAAATTTTATTCATCAAACTCGAAAGATTGAAGGTTAGAAAAAGAATAGAAGGTTTTCAAAAAAAGATATAGAATATAGGGCTCTAAAGAGAAATTATTATTTGTTGGACTTATGAAAACTTATATTGGTTCCTCTGTTTATAATAATAGTAGTTTATTTTTATCTTTATATATTCCAATTTTTACTTTTTATTCAAATGTTTTGTTTTTTACATAAAATTACTTTTATTGTTATATGTTATATATTATGGTAAATTGTGTTGGTTTAATAACAGTTGAGAATCATAGCTCAAAGCATCATAAGATATAGCTTTCACATTTTCTATATCAACTTTTCACATATGTTTCTTTAATCTTCTTACAATGTGATAATAAATTAAAAGTATATTTTATTTTAACCAAAACTTATTTTGATATATATATCTGTCTTATATATGTATAGTAACGTATATAAATAATTTTTATATCTTATATTTTTATTTATTTGATATACGTAACATTGCAGTAATTTTTTCTAGAAAATTAAGAATATGTTTACTTGAGAATTTGTTTATTTGAAGTTTCTTTCTAGAAATGTTTGTATAGAATATCATGTGTTATCACTGTATTATATGTTGTTTATTATTTTTTAAATATAAATATCAGTTAAAACAAACATGCCAATGATATATGTATGTATCTTAAAAACTTTCCTGTTATTATTTCTTTCAACTGTATATTTCAAATTACAAAAGAATAAGTATAGATAGATTCTATTATTTGTATTGTTATGAATTTTAATGAAAATCAAAACATTCTTTTAACAAATCTTAACAGATAAAAATTTTAGCAGATTAAATATGCTGTAATGGTAGAAATATAAAAATTTTAATTCTTTGATTAATTAAGGCTTAATTAATCAGATATATATTAAGGCTTAACCAAGTTTTTTTGTTTATATTACAATGAAAATCTGTAGTGTTGAAAGGAATAATTGTAGTTATATGACATTGTATTTGTAAATGTTGCAAGCCACAAAATTTAGTAATTTAATTTATTATGTTTTGTTTTGCACAATAATTATATTCTATATATTCAATTTTTAGAAATTATATTTGGGAAAGATATTAAAGGCTCAGCCTTTTGCGAATTTTACAATGAGACGATGTGTGCTGAGTCCCAAATAGGATGTTCAGGAAAAGAAGAATGTGTTATACATGATCCAGACAAGCGTAACCATTGTTATGTATTATGGCAAATTGACAATGTCACCAAAAAGTCGATAATTAAATTGAAGGTAAATTAGTCTAATTAACAATCTATTATATTTAGTTCACTCTTGCAAGTTTTTAACAAAAATATAGCAATATAGTATGAGAATAAGAGAAAAGAGTAAAATTTGAGAAAGTTCATATATTAGAAATATTGTGTGGTTGGAATGTGTTTAGAAAAACTTATTAAATTATTTTATAACATACAATATTAATTTCTAGTATTTCATGCAGCAATGCATATTTTCTTTAGACAACTTTTTAATATTACTGATCTTTTCTTCCGAAAAAAGAGAAAAAATTCAATTTAGAAACAATTGGCAAAGTTTATAATTATGAATTTATTATTACCGGATAATATTTCCTATATAACATTTGTAAAATATTTTCAGGGTTGCTTTTTAGATAGCAATGATTGTTACAATAAGCCAAAGTGTATCGAAAATACAGAAAGAAGGAAGGATTTATTCTTTTGTTGCTGCGATGGTAATATGTGTAATGAAGACTTTTCTTTTGAGCCACTTCCGACTTTATCCTCCAAGCCTACACAGCCATCTGTTATTCATGGTATTTTGCCTTAATCATGAGTTATCTAGCGTTCTTGAATATATAACATAATACTACTTTAAATCATTAATTTTTCAGAGTCTGAACCAGTTCCTGATGAAAGGCAGCCAATAACAATTTTAATATCAATATTAATTACTACGTTTTTTATATCAATTGTTGTGTTGTTTTCTTTATGGTACTATCGTCGACAAAAGTCGAGTGATTTTAACGAGGTATGTTGATATTGTTTTAAATAACATTGTGTGGATTGTAAAATTCACAGAACACAATAACGAAATTATTGTAAATCTTGCAGCTACCGACAGGGGAACCTCCGTTACCAGAATCTTCACCTAATCTAGGTTTACGACCGATACAACTTCTTGAGATTAAGGCTCGGGGTCGTTTCGGCGCAGTTTGGAAAGCCCAACTCAAGCATGAGATTGTAGCAGTTAAAGTTTTCCCCATCCAAGACAAGCAGTCTTGGCAGACTGAACAAGAAATTTTTAAGCTTGCACACATGGATCACGAAGACATACTACGTTTTATAGGAGTTGAGAAACGTGGCGATAATTTACAAGCTGAATTTTGGTTAATTACGGCGTATCATGAAAAAGGTTCACTGTGTGATTACCTGAAAGCAAACGTCGTGACATGGCCTGAGATGTGTAGAATTGCAGAATCCATGGCAAGGTAATTATTATTTATGATAATGGTTATTATTTATGTAGAGAATTCAAAATAGAGTCATGCGTAAAAGTATAACTTATGAATTAAGATATACTTTTATTAAGTCACAATTCGTAACAAAATATTGTTATTATCAGAGGTTTAATGCACCTACACGAAGAAATCCCAGCTAATAAAGCAGATGGTTATAAACCTGCTGTAGCTCATAGGGATTTTAAGTCAAAAAACGTCTTGCTGAAAGCTGACATGAGTGCCTGTATAGCAGATTTTGGTTTGGCACTTATCTTTCACCCTGGCAAGCCTTGCGGCGACACACATGGACAAGTACATATGCCTGTGTACATATTATCGCGTATTTTATTACAATATGAGGTTAATTACTTTGTTTTTTATAGGTTGGAACACGAAGATATATGGCACCAGAAGTGTTAGAAGGGGCAATAAATTTTACTAGAGATTCATTTTTACGGATTGATATGTATGCATGTGGGTTAGTGCTGTGGGAATTAGCTTCAAGATGTACTGTACAAGATGTACGTAATAGCATAGAAAGAAAAATACCAAGAAAAATAATGATATAGATTGAACATTGCATTGGCAGAGTTTAATTTTTTTTTATTATTGTTACTAAAAACAATATTATTGATACTAAGAACATAGCGGAAGTATTACATTATTATATAAATCAAATAGTCACAGAGTTTCAGTTTTTCTTTAGAATGAAACAAGCTATATATTCGCACACAAATGAAATGATAACATCTTGTGTTTGCAATCGAAACGTTTGATTTACATAATAATGTAATGCTTGCGTTATATTCTTGGAGGTAATAATTAAAAGGAATTAATCTCCTTTCACAATTTTTCACAATGTTCAATCTTTGATAATCATTGACTGTATTTACATTTCATATATACTATTTTACAAATTTGATATTTTTATGAAACTACGAATCCTGAATATTATACATCTTATAAACATCAATTATAATAGATTATAAAACAAAGTTTAAACTATAAATTTTTTTAAACTTACCAATCATTTTTCTTATTCCAATATAGGGACCAATAGGAGAATATCGTCTACCATTTGAAGATGAAGTTGGACTTCATCCTACTCTAGAGGACATGCAAGAAAGTGTTGTTCATAAAAAGGAAAGGCCACTCATTTTAGAAACATGGCGTAAACATCCAGTAAGTGAAACATATGGTACTCTTTATGATATTTTTTTCTGACATATTTTTTAATACAATAAGTACAAAAGAGCTGTTTAGAATGTGTTAAATATTATATATTAATGTATAGTTACAGCCAAAACATCTTATTTCAGGGACTTTTATCAATTTGTGATACAATGGAAGAATGCTGGGATCATGATGCAGAAGCACGTCTTTCTGCCTCGTGCGTAATGGAACGAGTTGCTACTCTCAGTAGAGCTCTGATATTAAATTCATCTACTTTGATTCGAGTTGATCATATTACCACCAACGAGATTATTACTACCAAGGAATCTAGTATGTAGTTAGTGTCTCTATACATTATAGTTTTAGTTATATTGCACAACCATTTTTGTATCATAATTTTGTTATACATAACAATGAGGAATGTTGAAACAACAGTAAAAAGACAAGCATATATCTTCAGAGTCTTACGTTTCACTATATTTAATCGAATAATTTATTAATTATTTCTGCGAGACGTGTGCGCAGATGGTTGTCAATCACAATATCATGAAGTTCACTTCCTCAATTTGTAAGATAAAAGTATTTAAACTGTGTATTACATTTTATCTTACTGATATCTTTTCCACACATTGATAATCGGTTCATCAATGTTAGAGAAGTGTCGAAAAGATCAGAGAAATATCTTAAATCTTTATTTTAATAAAAAATAATACTACGAGGTAACGGTACAAGAACAAGATATTATAATTTTGAATATAAGTAATCACATGAGATATAAATGACAAAAGTTAAAGTGGTGAAAGCGTAGCCCATTATATTTGCCAAATTATATCACGCAATATCATACTTTGTACATACAGATTTCTCTGTTTTAAAGACGTAAATATAAAACATGATTTTAATCATATGTAGTACGTATCGTTGTCTATGTAACAACTTGCAGATGACAACACAAAGAAATGCATTCTATTGTTTTTGTTTTATTTAGTGTAGAATTTGTGGATTGTATCCTTAGAATATTGGATGCAGATCTGATACTAAAATGTATGAATTTTTATAACAAAATGACCAGTTTTTTATGATAAATATGTTTAATCGGGCAATTACATATTTGAGTGAAAACTGTTTGATTAAAATTATACTAAAATTTTATATCTACCGTTGTAAATAAACATTGTATATTCAGATGAAGGAGTCAATACTTGAGATATTCGAAATTCCTTACTGGCGTTTCTAAAATTTAGAAGATTAACATCATTAACAAACTGAAAATGTATGCGACTTTTAATATGAATAGGCGATTCGTTTATCTGAAATCTTCATGAATATTTTTCTTACAAGTAAGAAATTCGTGAGAAATCCGTGTAAGAAAATTTGTTTTCTTATGTGATATGAATAAGTGAATGTATTTTGCAAGTCTATCTCGGTGAAAAGCGTCTCTTCTTTTAGAGAAGCAAATTAGGTTCACGTAAGACGGTGCTTTATTAGTACAATTAATATTTGACAGAGATAACTCCGGCACGACCGAGATAAAATAAACGCTCATAAACGGCATCTTCGCATGCAATGCTATAACGAACTGTGCGTTATACGACGAGTTATAACGTTCGTGTTGCAATATCAAATTAGTGACTTCTTAAGTGAGACTGAAATTGGAGTACAATTTCAAAAACGATGCGAGTTAGAAACGAAAGGCTTTGTTCGATAAAATATTTAATTATAACTTAGTAAATTTAAAACAGAACCTTTTAGATTTTTTAAACACACACGTCGGAAGTTTTCTTGCAATAGCTCATAGGAAGAAAAAAGAAAAGAAAATAATCGCCTTTGTCTTTTCATATCGCTTTCACGCTAATATTTGAACTAATCAAATCGTCTTATCCGACATCGTTTTATTCGGACGAAGTGCAGAGAAAAGGGGAAAAAGTGTAGCGGAAAGGAGAGCATCTTTTTACGACGTAAGTCTAGGGTATTTGTCAGGTATATTATATACCGTGCGTAAAACGTGCGTGACCGGGGTGACCTGATTGGTTGATTGAACGTCAGAACGCGCACAAACTACTGACCAATCGACGATGTCAATTTTCCCTTTGAAATTCACAGTGCCTTTCAGTTCGCATCGCGCCGCATTGTGTCGCGCCGCGAATGCAACGGTCGCTTTTTTCGCTCGTCCTCTCGGGTGTTCCTTGCGATTTCGCGCTAGTTTCTTCCATGGCGGATTAACGTCGCGCAACTTTTAACTGTGCCCGGAAGAAAGTACATCGAGGCAGTTCTTCGGTGGACGCGGAGAGCGCAACGGAAAGCTCGGAAGGTAAGTGACAAGTTTAGAGTTCGAGCTTTGAACTTTGTGCGTTCGATTTTCGCAACCTCCTTCGCCAATCGAAGGAAAGCCATGACTAATAATGTAAAGAATTTTTCTCGAACCTCATTCGTATCTCTCCGTTATCTGTAATAATGTGATCTACACGATTCGATTCTCCTCTATTTGAGACATGTTCGGATGAAAATGGCTCCATCCGAAATGAATGCGTTGAAACTTTGAAAATGTCACATGATTCCATTAAGTAATTTATCTTTTTGCTACATGGTGGCGTATCAAGACAATTTTGCGCTTCGTATTTTCTCCGAATTATATTGGTCATCTCCTTATCGATAATAGTGTAACAGGACAGGAAGAGAGAGAATGGAAAAATAGATTTTTCCAAATTAGGCAATTTCACAGTGTGAGATTTCATACTTAAATAAGATTCTCGCGTGTGTCCTCTTTTAAATATTACACTATAATCAAAGAAGAATATACGTATAGATTTGAAATGAAAGCGAATAGACTCTTCATTTTTAAATTTTGTCAAGTGATATCGTTGTTATTTTTAACGAAATACCGGCTCATAAAACTACGATCGAAGTGCAGCGTGTTTCGTCTTCCACCCGCGAGCTGCATTTACCTCTCACTTTTCGATGTTTCAGACAGTCAGGAACATGCAAATTTCAAGCATATTTTTCCGTTCGCGAGACTGAAATGTACGATGAATCGTCGCGCATCGTGCGTCGTCGTCGTCGTCGGCGTGACCGCGCAGAGTCGAGAGCAGAGCGCCGCGCCACTCGAGGAGGAGGAGGAGGTGGTGGTCGTCCTCGTCGTCCGCCTCCTCCTGGAGCACGTGCCTCCGGCTGTCAGTCGCGTGTCATCGCTGGCCGGTGGACGCGACGGGGTACAACGCCGGCAGAGTTCTCATTCTCACGCGACTGACGAGAGAGAAAGAGAAAGAGAAAGTATAAAAGTACAATTAGCGAAATCGTGCGATCGCGCGCGCGACATCGCGACGGGAGTGCAGCTCTAATCACAGCCCCGCGGTTCCCAACTGCCGAAAAGAACCGACAAGCGCGGAAAGAGTCGAGTTCCGTTGTTGATCGGGGCGCTGGGATCCAAGAAGCAGACACCTGTTCCCGTGGCCGTGGACCAATCTTTGCGGCATAAAGAGTAAAGTATACACGATATCCAACAATACTCGGGTAAAACTCGCTGCTGCTACAACGTGCACCATCTTTCTGTGCCGCGCCGACGACGCGCCGTGTGTTTGCACGCTCTCACTCCCAGCGCGGACTGCATTTCGCGCTCATACCGGGAACGATTAATCACCCCGCGATTGTGTCGTCGAATGTGACAGACGCGACCGCATGATATCGGCAAGCGCGCCACTTTAGTCCGGCGTGAAAACTCAGCTCGGTCGTTACACGTTCGCACAGCGATCTCACGACCGCGGTTGTATTGTAATGCAGCTCTGCAGCTTTATGATCGTGCCATTGTCTCGTTAATTCATAACACGGCAGTTTACGATGATATACACTGCGGTGCGGCGAAATAGTGATTATTTTTCATAGCGTCTCGCGGTTTTACGGCACAATAGAGCAATATCGTTATACGTGTCTGGCTCATGGGGACGATAAAGCTCGACAAAGCGCGACTACGTCCTTCAGACACATAGGATGTGTGTATGATTGTTATAAATTGCCGATACAAATGTTAAGCGTTTTTCTCTTTTACTCTTATTCTCTTCCTCTCTCTCTTTCTTTTTCTTCCACGGAAAATACTTTGCAGCTGCACGCCTATAAACCTTCGGAGGTAATGTCGGAAGGGTTAAATCGCCGATAAATCTCTCGCTGACTGTGCCGCGCGGTAATCGCTTTTAAATTAGCAATCCGGAACTCATTCCCAGAAGTACAAAGTAGCGCGTCTCCCTCTCTCTCTCTCTCTTTCTCTCTCTCTCTCTCTCTTGCGAAAGAGATTCACGAAGCCGGAGAAGCAGGTAACATGATTTTTTTATAATTGGAATTTATAATCGAACATTATATTTCGCGCGGAATATTAGCGCGCGAGGCGCGTTTCCTTCCACTGGGAGATCCGTCTCTCATGTCTATCGTATGTATCGTACGTATCGTATGTTCTATTTAAAGATACCGCTCGGGATTTTGTCGAAAAGGACATCCGCGCGGCGAAGTTTAAGGTTGAGTTGTATTCTCATATTTTTCTCGCCGTGGGGAAGGTTAAACGGGGAGGATCGGAAAAAAAGGGAGCGAAACTGCGAACGAGTTCGAGTGGTGTGTGCGTTGAATGAAATTCCCTCGAGGCAACATCGAGGGAATTGAGGCTCTCGTGAATTAAAGCTCGCGCGTCCGCGAGCTTTTCAAGTCCCGCCGATATCGTCGACTAGCCTTCTCGTGAAGGCTAATCGCATCCACATCCGAACTGACGATCGAGAAAGTCGCTGCACCTCTGCACGCTGTACTGTCATCCTCATTATCCATATTATCGTTACTATTATCCGTGCAGACTTTGACCGACTGTATCTTGGCAAAAAAAAAGAGACTTGCGCTTCCGTTTCCAGTGTCTCATGTTGCATCGCGATACGTTGTCGCAGCGCGACGATACAATAAAAAAAAAAAGAAAGAAATGCAAAGCATCCAGAGAGAGAAAGAACGACTCCGAATATGATAATTTATTAAATCCACAAGTTCAAGCAAAAATGTAATTTTAAGATAAAAGACATTCAAACGATAAATTAGCTAGTGATTTTCTTAATGTTAAATTCACGAGTTCAAACAAAAATGTAATTTTAAGATAAAAGACAATCAAACGATAAATTAGCTAGCAATTGTCTTAATATTGCCGTGTTGGCGAGGTCGGGTTAATGTGCCCTAAGACGAATTCCCGTGGCACAAATCTCTCGGTAGTTGCTGGTCGTTTCTTCGTCATCTCAGTTTTTGTTCGCGAAGGATAACGGTGCGGGCGCGCTCGACAGTCACTCGGGACGCGTTCAGTCACCGGAAGTGTGGTGTACGTTTGCCCTGTGATGCCACCAAGATTACTGGCCTTAGTGCTGGGTTACCACGAGAGGTGCTTGCCGAATAATAGGAGAATGCATCGCCGCAGTTTCCGAGTGAGGAGTTCGCGTCTGCAGGAGTAGAAGCGCGCTGCCGTTGACGGTCGATATTATTGGCCTCGAGTGTCCGTGAGCTTCGTCTAACACAGTTCCGAAGTGGCATCTTCGCTGGATCAAGCGCTACGTGTGGATGACTGCTCGACCGTCAACCCGACGAGCACGGTCATTTCGTATTTCAGCGCGGACGCGAGCCGAGAGATTAGCCGAGGGATTAAGTCGACGCTACGTTCAACGTAGTTTCCCCTCTCAGTTATCTTGACTCGTTGACATCGTCCCGGTTAACGATCCGTAACGATCCTTCCGTTACGACGTTTATGTACTTGGATTCGATTAAATGCGGAGTATCGCGCGTACAAATACGAGGAATGCCGATTTGCGAATTGAAAGCGTACATGCGAAATTGCAGGCGCGGACGGGATCGTCTAATATGCTAGATTATTATTGGGGAACATCTAAACTCCTTTTTTAAGAAATTTGAATTTTCCAATTAATGATACGCCAATTTAGGGCTTATGTCGAGTAGATTAAGAATGCAAAGTCTCGATATTGTTTTCGTAGTTGTTTGGGAGATGAACGGTCCGAAGATTGCAATTTCTATAGTATGGTTGTTTTGTTGAGATTGCAATCTTTTGGACCGTTCGCTTCCCAAACGACTACGATAACAATATCGAGACTCTACATTCTTGATTCGCGCATTGTAATTTCTCTCGAATTCAAGATACAATCGATAGCTC